GTTTTCACATAGGGATAACCTCATAACTTCCTTTCAAGTCGCCTATTATTGTGCTTTGTTGTCTTATTTGTATCGCTTTTTGCTAGCCTCTGCTCTTACTTGTATTTTACTATTTGTCAATAATTTATTTGCGATTTGAATAAACTATGTATGTAAAAAGACAGCACATAAGTATTAAAGAGTCCCCTAAAACAACCCCATGATCCAACATGTTTTGCAACTCCGGAAAAGCTGCATGTAATTTGGCCTGTAAATTAACCATGCCCTGACTTGGATCAGTTCATAGGTTGTTTCAGTGTAAAATAAAATAGAAGCTAAGTTTGGTTTGGTTTTGGAAATAAATATTAATGACTGACAATAGCTTTGTAATTTCTTCATAGTATTACATCATAGAGGTTAATGCCCGATTGTCAAGAAGTTCTGCATTGGCATCTAAAGCCACAGGGTACCCACTAGCTTATGTAGCAGCAAAGTTAGCATTGGGCAAACCTCTTCCAGAGCTACACAACTCTGTCACAAACAAAACAACTGCTTGTTTTGAACCTAGTCTGGACTATGTGGTAGTGAAAATCCCTCGATGGGACTTAAAGAAGTTTAACAAAGTCAGCACAAAGGTATGGTGCAAAAAAGGTCAAAAATTATTTATATAATATGTATAATTCCAGAAAATATCCATGTTCCCCTCAAGAGGGTTTTTCTAAAGTTGGGAATAAAAATGGACTCTATATTCATACTCTCCATACTAGATTTCTCTGAGGAGGAGGGGTGAAGAGGGTCTGTGAGAGGTTTGGGCAAAGAGGGGGGGAGGATTCCATATGGGCACCCTAGGGTATATTACATTTCTTTTTTTTGAAGAAATCCCAACTATGAACTATGCAAACACAGATCAGTCAAAAATATACAACTCTGTGGAACTTTTATGTTTTAGGGGGTGGGGGTGGGGCAGAAACATGCTCTCCATAAGATTAAAACTGGATTGATGAAAACTGGATTGATGAAAACTGGATTGATGAAAACTGGATTGATGAAAACTGGATTGATGAAAACTGGATTGACATTACTGAATGATATCTTTGCTTGTTTTGCACAGATTGGAAGTTGCATGAAGAGCGTTGGAGAAGTAATGGCGATTGGTAGAAAATTTGAAGAAGCTCTCCAAAAAGCGATCAGAATGGTTGACGAGGGCAATCTGGGATTTGACTCTCATAAGCATACTCCTTCAGATGTGGTAAGTGGGAATAGTTCATTAGCTCTGAGCAATCAGGTTGAACACTATATGTTATTGACAACACTCAGGGCTTAAGATAACAACCAGACATCAGACAATGTCCAGCCAGAACTGGGGCTTGTAGGGTCAAATCTTTCCCTTGCCAGTCATTTTAATCAGTAACATTTAGCCAAAAATGAGGTATGACAAAGCTAAAACATTTRGCCTGCGATCATGATTGGCGACTAATTGGCTGTTATTTTAAGCTCTTGACACTAATCACCACAATGAATAAAATATATAACAATGGCACAGTTCAAAAATATTATTTCAAGAGTACATGTTTATGAAGGTGCCTCTAACTGCAAGTATATTATATGGTCCACGTATGGGCTAAAGAAAATAGTCAATGGACAATGTTCAGCCAAAATACTAAGGTATTTGTCCAGCCAAATGGTTCTTTGGGCCAGTCCCGTTGACCTGTCACATTGACCAACATTGTCCACATGGACCCATCTAATGCAGCCAGTCGTCATGCCCGTCCACTGAAAAACCATCTTATTTTTATTTTAACGTTTTCACTAAGATTGCCATTCCATTTTTCCTGCCCCATACAATGGTTACTATGAAATATCTAAAACAGCTATTTGGATAAAAGGATATTAATTTTCTTAAAATGTTTCAGGAATTAAATCAGCCGTCAGACAACCGCATCCATGTCCTAGCAGCAGCGTTGAAGGAGGGTTACACCATAGACAGGCTGTATGAGTTGACTAAGATCGACAAATGGTTTCTAAGCCGCATGAAGYGTATTACTGATTATAATGCACTGTTAAAGTCTTATAGGACTGAAACAGCTAAGGTAAGATGATTAAATGTTTCATAATTTTTCTTTGTTATTTATACATGGGTGGATCCAAGATGAGGGTGCAACTACAACTACAGTACAGCCCCTGTGAGCAGAGCAACCATATGATAAATGATTTGGCCATCTTAGTTTAGTTTTCTTTTAAAGGATTTGACACAAGGATACATACATGTACAGTAATGTGTACAAAAGTCAAAAAAGTTGAACTCTTAGGAAGCAAATCCGTAGCTGAAGAGAACAGAGCCAAGATTTCTCTTAATAAAAACAATATCAGGGCTTTACATGATGGCCGGTCAGTCACCAGTCATGATTGCTGGCCAAATTAGTATTAACTCGGACAAGTTCCAATTCTGGCTGGACGTTGTCTGATGTCTACCAACTCCAGGAACTGCAGAGACTAGGGGGAGGGGGGGGGAAGCTGGGGGGCTATGGCCCCCAACAAACACTCCCAGTCTTAGCCCCCCACTTTTTCCCATACTAGTCTCTTATATTTTCCAATATTACCCCCCTCCCCCCCACCCCATTTTTTTGGGTTTATCCATGGTCCTTGATCTCGAAACTCAATTCAGCAACTATCTTCTGTCTTCTGTTCAATCTTGACACATCTTTTCATTTGATTTGATCAGGATTTGTCAAGCCATTTTTATAACCTTTATTCCAACATATCCTGACATTTAAAACTCATGTCTATACTTTGCAGGGTGTATCATCTCACACACAATTGTCACAAATAGACAAGGTAGTATTTCATAATCACCTGTTCATACTTTACACAACTTACTACAGTAAYAGTACAGTACATGCTTGTTTAATGCCATGGAAGTTGAATATTATCAAAAAAAATAATTTTAGATGGTAAAAAATTTTGTTACACTGGCTCAGGATGATTTTGCTGGGATTTGTTGTTTAGTTAGTTGTCTTTGTGTGTTTGCTGTTGATGTTGTCATTGTTGCAGCTGCTATGATTAATAGTCCCCTTCACAGTTCCCTGTGCCATCCTGAAAGGTAACCGTGCCTTCGCATCAAAGAAAGACAAACGGTGAGCATGCAATGATAGAGACCTTTTTTAACACCCTTGGACAATTATTCACATGTCTCTATCATTGCAAGCTCACCGTTTGTCTCACTTCGATGCAAAGGCATGGTTACCTTTCAGGATGGCGCAGGGAACTGTGAAGGGGACTATTATGATGTTGTCAATGTAAATTATTGATGCAATTTGCTATCTTGTTGTTGCTGAGTGAATGGTAACGTTGTTGCTCAAGTGGTCATTATGGTGATTATTATAATGTTTTCAWTTAACTGATATCTTTTTTACACCAGTATAACAGTCTTTTTATCTAGGCACCTGAGATCACTTATGAACATCTGTTAAGAGCAAAGCAGCTTGGCTTCTCAGACAAGCAAATAGCCAAGTGCATTCACAGGTAATGTACTACCCAAGATGTATCTACCCTCCTCCTATAGCTCTGCCACTTAAAGAACAACATAAATTAAAGATTCGGCCTTCGCCCTTCGCCCTATTGACTCATAGACAGGTCTGCAGTATATGTATGTATATAAGATCTACTATCCTCTATTAGTCGACTATTTCACAGTCTTAGTAAACCACTCCACCATTGTGCCAACCTCTATATTTTCAAAGGTTACAGTCATTTCTTGATATAATATATGCTCCAATTCTCTCTACAGCACTGAATTGGCTGTCAGAAAACTCCGTCTTGAAATGCAAATCACTCCATTCATGAAGCAAATAGACACAGTAGCAGCTGAGTATCCGGCATGTACTAACTATTTATATCTGACTTACAATGCCATGGAGGATGACCTTACATTTCCTGGAAATGCCATCATGGTACTTGGTTCTGGGGTGTATAGGATTGGTAGTAGTGTTGAGTTTGACTGCTGTGCTGTGGGATGTATAAGAGAACTAAGAAAAGTAAGATAACAATACTATTTTGATAGACTTTATTTGTTGTGGTGCAGTGTGTACCCATTACAGGCTGGCCACATGTCATTCTCTTGGGGAGAAGATTCTTTGTTTGAGTTGTATCCATATTCATTTGTCTTCTCATGCACAAGCCTTAAACAAAGAAATGATACTCTAGGGAATGACACATGTTCTGTAAAGGAAAAATGTTGCACCAAGATGAATAAGGTCTTTAAGAATGTATAGAAATACTGTACTTTTAAATATAGTTGTTTCCTTGATGAACAGACCCTCCTTGACCAAGGTAAACAGTACTTCTTTCAATACGGGGAAAGCAATGAATATTTATTTACTTCTCATTTTTTCTTCATGGAACTTGTCTGTGATAGCAATAGTGGTGCATTGTGGTCTAGCTTGGGTGGTGTTGTTGGTACCCAAGCTAGACCAGAATGCATCTTGATATTCTATTTGTAGCTTGGTAAGCAAACAATCATGGTCAACTACAACCCTGAAACTGTGAGCACAGACTATGACGAGTGTGACAGGCTGTACTTTGATGAAATATCTTTTGAGGTATGGGAATAAAAACAATATTAAAATGACTGTTATCAGTATGTGCACTTACACCTCACCTGAGGTCTTGCCTTTGATTCCTGGACTCAGCATCACATGTAAATAGAGTTTAGAGGAATTTTCTGTTTTTCCTTTCTCCTTATATTACCCAACATGCTAAATTCCAATTCCTAATTTTGATCTCAAAATATATTTTTTAAGTGTGTTGCTTAATTTATGTTCACTTTTTTAATTTTCAGAGTGTGATGGATATCTATACAAAGGAGAACCCAGAAGGAATTATTCTTAGTATGGGTGGACAGCTACCCAATAACATAGCCATGCACCTACATAGACAACAGGTGTGTATGGGTGGGTATGGAGGGGAATTATTCTTAGTATGGGTGGGCAGCTACCCAATAACATAGCCATGCACCTACGTAGACAACAGGTGTGTATGGGTGGGTATGGAGGGGAATTATCCTTAGTATGGGTGGGCAGCTACCCAATAACATAGCCATGCACCTACATAGACAACAGGTGTGTATGGGTGGGTGTAGAGGGTAATCATCCTTTAGTTTGGACATTTTTAATTTTTAAATTTTAATATTTTTTTAAAAATTAATATTTTTAAATTTTAGGCAAGGATTTTAGGGACATCGCCAGAATCAATTGACAATGCAGAAAATAGATTCAAATTCTCCAGAATGTTAGACAATATTGGAATGCTACAACCTCAATGGAAAGAGCTTACTACCATTAAGGTATGACAAGTCTTAATTTTTAGCAAATTGTACTGAAAAACCTAAGAAAATCTTGATGGCAAGAAAAAAAATAGAAGCTAGCAGGACAAATGGCACGATAACAGCAATAGGTGTGCCTTCTCRAGAGACCTTTCTTCCCCTACAAGAAGATGTAATAGATTTAGTCCTGACTATGGTTTCTTTTTTCACTACAGAATGCAAAAGAATTCTGTCAGGCAGTTGGTTATCCCTGTCTTGTGCGACCATCATATGTCCTTAGTGGTGCAGCCATGATTGTGGCATATAACGACAATGATCTTGACAACTACCTCACCAGTGATGTGTTCCTCTCAAGGGACCATCCTGTTGTCATCTCCAAGTTTATTCAAGAAGCCAAGGTTAGTCTCCTGAAACTGTAAATTTATATTGCACTTAAGTACAAAATAGTGCAAGGTCTATTGTATCATCAGTGCTATTTAGTACTATTTAGGGAAGCATAGGCCTGGCGTAGCAGCGAGAGCGCTCACATCTCATCAATGAGACCCAGGTTTGAGTCCTGCCAGGCTTGGTGTTGTATATAATCTCAAAATGTGTATATAATCTCAATCTCAAGCTTAATTCTGCCAGGTAGTGGTCACCCCTGGTATTTAATTTTTGGATTGTAAAATGAATATGCAGGTGTAAACAAAGGCTTTTATCTTCAAAAAATAAACTAAAGTCCTTTAATTTCTTTCGTACATATTTTCTCTTATTTCCTTCTTCATATTCAAGGAAATTGATGTAGATGCCATTGCTTGTGATGGAGAAGTGGTTGCTATAGCAATATCTGAGCATGTAGAGAATGCAGGAGTGCATTCTGGAGATGCTACTATGGTGTTACCTCCACAAGACATGAATTCTGAGACCATCAGCAAGATAAGAAAGATCTGTTATGCTATTGGAGAAGCTTTGTCTGTGACGGGACCCTTCAACATGCAGCTAATAGCCAAGGTATATTAAGATTGCTCTAGTTATCTTAACAGTTAGGTGCTAGAGATTCAGACGATTCTATCTGGGCACTTGGTGAAACATGTTAACCATGGTCCAAGATCAATAGGAAAGGGTGAAATGAAGTTAATGGGAATCATTGAGGATCATGGATAGATGGATAGCTTTGAAGTCATCCTACTACTGGTAACGAGTATACTGGGCATGCTAGAGAATTGATTAAACTTGAAAATGACAAGTGTTAAATTATAGGTCAATGGTGGATGAATGGATTTTGAGTCATCCAATCAGTTCAGTGACTGTGAAAAAAAAATTGTACTTAAAGACTGTATCACTAGTTTTTCACAGCAGACTAGCAGGAAAATGTCAAGGTGGTTGTACTATAAGGTTAGTAACAATCTTTTGATATAACTTTTTTCTTTCTCTGCAGGATAACCAACTGAAAGTGATTGAATGCAACCTCCGTGTTTCTCGCTCCTTCCCTTTCGTCTCCAAAACCCTGGATCACGACTTTGTTGCTATGGCGACTAGGGTCATCTGTGATGTGAAAGTAGAGTCTGTTCTGGATCTTGATGGTCAGGGACGAGTTGGAGTCAAGGTAAAAAATGCAGTTTTAAACTTCTTTTTATGATTACCTGAACCAGACAAGTAGCTATGATTTTGAGACATCTGGGTTTTTGGTTTCCATTAATCAATATGATGATCCAACTGTCTGAGTAGTTATATTGGGATTGATATAATTCCAATCCTTGATTTCTTATGTTTTTACTAGTACATGTATGGAATATAATCACATTTAATGGAAATATTTTATTTGATGCGCAAGCTATAATTTTAAGAATACCCTTACATGCCATCTTTGCACGCCCAGATGATAGTTGCTCACGCTGTCGTGTTCCCCAGCGATACATATCTCGCTCCAACATTGTGAGTTGTGCGACAGTTGAGAAATATTTTGGGCTTATAACTCCAAGATCTATTGCTTCCTATAACTACTAGACACACGAAGAAAGAGACGCTGGAGTATCGAGTTAAACTGGAAGCGAAATACAAACTAGACAATAAAGTAGATTAACTAAGCAAATAAGCGATGGCTATGAATAAACTATGAACACAACACTTGCCGAAAAGTTTGGTTAAAAATTGTTGAAAAAATAGAATGATGAAACGATTATTAAATGAAAACAATAAGAAAAATAACCTACAGACCAACACATTCCTGTCTTGGTTTTACAGTACAATACGAATAACTATATTTCACGCTCAAATTTAAGATAGCAAATACATGCTAATATCTCCGAGTATTTTATTTTCTAGGTTCCTCAGTTCTCGTTTTCTCAGCTGGCCGGTGCAGACTGCAGGCTTGGGGTAGAGATGGCAAGTACTGGAGAGGTGGCTTGCTTTGGTGAGAATCGTTACGAGGCTTACCTCAAGGGATTACTGAGCACTAAATTCAAGATGCCAAAGAAAACCATTCTCTTGTCTATTGGAAGTTTCAATGTATGTTTATAGATTTCCCCTATACACGTTTTTTTTTGGCAGTTTGATGATGGTGACAATGATGAGGGATGGTGATGATGAGGATAGTCATGATGATGTTGATGATGGTGATGGCTGGTGAATATGATGCAGTAATGGTGGTGATGATGATGATAATGACGGAATATGATGATGACAGAATATGATGATGAGGATAGTATTGGTGATGGGTAGTAATAAATGGTGGTGACAAGGATGATGAAAATGATGGTGATGATGATAATGATGGTTGTGATGATGATGGTAGTAATAATAATGATGGTGATGATGGTGGTGAAGATAATGAGGACGATGATAAATTTGATTATTATTGATATTACTTTGCCAGCTTCTAACATTTAAATATTATAGAGGCTTCAAACAAACGTTTGCAACTTTTAAAACGTTCTGCTGCACGTTATTTCATTATTTCATACCTTGGCACATGCATACTTTTTTTAAAACGTTAAGGATGTCTTCTTTTATTATTATTATCATAATCACCATGTTACGTATTATATTTTAGTCCAAGAACGAGCTGCTTCCCAGCGTCAGGACGTTAAAGGAGCTTGGATTTACTCTCTATGCTAGTCTAGGTACTGCTGACTTCTATTCGGCTCATGGGGTAGAGGTAAGAGTTTTTCTCTTTTCTTTTCTATTTGCTCTCCTTTCTTTTCCCACCTATCCTATCTATCCTTTCCCTTTTGCTTTCCTTTCATGTCTTTTCTCTGTCCTATCTCTCTTCCTTTTACTTTCCTTTCTTTTCCTATCTTAGCTATCCTTTCCCATTCATTTGCTTTTCCTTAACTTTTCCTTTCATTTCTTTTTCTTTCCTACACCCAATTTTACTGCTGTGTGTCAAACTATATTCGCTCAAACTGAAAAAAAATCCAYATCTGTTTCTAAACAGGTCATTCCAGTTGACTGGCCAGCAGAAGAGGGCAACACTGATGATAATGGAGAATGCAGCATCACAGAACATCTATCACAAAACAAGTTTGACCTGTTTATCAACCTTCCACTGAGAAGTCACGGAGGTATTAGGACCGCTACCTTGGTTACACATGGATACAAGACAAGAAGGATGGCTATCGACTTCTCTGTTCCCCTGATAACTAACATTAAATGCGCCAAGCTGTTCGTTGAGGTAACTAGGTTTATTTCTTTTTTTCAAAGAGTTTTCTTTCCTCCTCTCAAACCAACCCTAACTAATTCAGACTGGGTAGAGCTGTTCTCCGGGGTCTTACATGGGCTGTATAGCAGCTGCTAGAGGCACCTTGTCATTGACTTCACGTTGCCCAGTTCAGCTGCACTACTGCTACGTTTTCGTTAGTGATTGGTGGGAAACTTAATTTTTTTGCTACGGCCTTATCTCTCACCATTGAGTAGTTCAATCCTGGGTTCGTTGCACATATAATGATAATCATAATGATAATTAATTTAAACACGTGTCGTCCAAGAGCGTAGAGCTTGTTCAAATTATGAACGTGCAAATACGAAAGAAGATATGCAAGTTTAGTTTGTTCAATGTGTTACTTGTCACAAGGGATGTCTCCGGTTTTCCTCCCTCTAACCTTAACCTATTTTGTCCTGATTGTTTTAGGCCCTGAAGAGAGTAGGTGGTGCACCAAGGCTCAAGACCCACATTGACTGCATGTCCTCGGCTCGTATCCTTCGCCTTCCAGGGTTGATTGACGTTCATGTTCATCTACGAGAACCAGGCGCTACTCATAAAGAAGACTTTATGTCCGGTACAGCTGCAGCCTTGGCTGGTGGCGTTACCATGGTGCTTGCTATGCCTAATACTAATCCTCCGCTGGTAGATGAAAATGCTTTTAACCTGGCAAAGAAGGTGTGTTGTGTTGAGGGGGAAAACCCTTGTTTTATTCTCTAGTTTTTAGATTATATCCAAGGTAGTGGCGTAGGAAGGGGGGGGGGGGGGGAATCCATTTTTTAATCGTACGCACCCACATTTCTAGCTATACCACTGTTCCTAGCTCTTACAAACTAGAACATCTTTAGTCAAATTTTCTCTAGCGGCGGGACAGTGTACCTTTTTTTGCTTAACTAGTTATGCGTGAAGGCCTTATTCCTGTTGAATTTGTTATTATTTGTATTTGAAAAAAGGTTTTTTACTCTCTTCATAATTATTTTAACACAATTCACATATGAGTTTTTTCAAAAACTTGTGCTTTGTTTGAGATATTTATTCTTTTCATATTGTTCAGCTTGCTGCCAAAGGAGCACTCTGTGATTACGGTATCTATCTTGGTGCTGGCCCGGACAACTATGACACTATCAAGAACTTTGGCCATCTAGCAGCAGGACTCAAGATGTACTTGAATGAGACATTTACAACACTACGACTAGATGACCTGACTCTGTGGATCAAGGTTAGTATTGAAAGCTCTAATAGTGCAATCAATGTCGTAGTGAAGGCTGGGATGAAGTCATTGCTTTTTCCAGTATGCATTAAAATCATGCAGATGACCCGCATGAGCTAAAATAATGGAGAATTTGTGTTTTTTGGTTTTTTGTTTTCAAAATTTTTGGATCAAGGTAAGTAACCAAAACCTTAGGAGTTTGATCGATGTTTAAGTTCAAGGGTGCAATGAAGCTACATGAAAAGAGCACAGATGGGTGCACATGGACACAGCTATACGGGGAGACTTAAGATCGTTTAAATCGACTTAAGTAAGGACAGTTAGAATAAAATTTATTTGTTTTATTCAACAGCATTTAGAGAACTGGCCTAAACACCTTCCAATCGTATGTCACGCTGAAGGTAGAACTACTGCTGCTATCTTGTTATTGGCTGAGCTGGCTGAGAGACCGGTACATATAGCACATGTAGCACGCAAAGAAGAGGTAATGATAACAAATACTCTTGTCATTTGAGTAGATCTGTATGGGTCTGAAACGGTACGGAATCGACAACTACTAACCATCACCATCTCCACAACTACTGCCGCCAACACCCACAGCACAGATGAGCAACTCAATAACCCAACAATACTAGGCTGATCTAAGCCAGAGCGACAAACTCATGCCATACATGCCATTGCTGCTGTTATACAGGCTGTAATATTAAGGAAGATTCAACACACGGTTATAATCATCATCACCATTATCATCATCATCATCATCATTGACTGTTTCTTTTAGATTCTTGTGATCAAAGCAGCGAAGGAACGAGGCATGGCCGTCACCTGTGAAGTGGCACCTCACCATCTGTTCTTGACCCAAGATGACGTGGAGAGGATTGGACACAACTGGATCAAAGTTAAGCCACCCATCGTCACTAAAGAAGATCAGGACGCGCTATGGGAAAACTTGGAGTATATTGATTGTTTCGCTACGGACCATGGTATGTTATGCTTTATCTTGCACTACGAGTAGAACTAATTCGTATTGTTGTAATGTTTTTCTATTTTAGAACACGTGTCATTCTCTAGATTATGATTTCTTTGTTTGACAATTGGGCATAATATAACATTCCTCTAACACGAATTAGTTCTTTTGAAAATATATTTGGTGACTATGTCATATACCATACTTTGACGAGAAATAAGACATTACATATACTTATTATTTTGCTGCAATATTGTTTCAACAGCTCCTCACACAGTCGAAGAAAAAAACTCTGACAACGCTCCCCCCGGATTTCCTGGCTTAGAGACCATGCTACCATTATTGCTCACGGCTGTGCACCAAGAACGCCTGACTGTTGATGTAAGTACCAGCTTCCTTTTCAGTAGAGAAGACATCAGATGAAAAAACACAAGGCAATGTTTTGCACATTGTCTAGCTTTTGTAATGATCATGGATGGAATAAACAATCCGTGAATCGCAGTCAGTACTCTCTAGTAATCTCGGAATTCATTGCTGCTTCGTTCAAGTTCTTGTTTGCAGAAAACATCTTTAAAACAGTCTTAGACGTTGCGTTTAACAGAGCAGAAGTAAAACCACTAACTTCTTTCACTCACTTCTCCCAGTAGTGATCAATCGGTGCAGTCTTACCTCTAGCAATCAAAGTCCCTTCGTGTCTCTTGGCCTTCAGGGATGTGAAAAAATTATTTAATGTTCGCCTCTTACCAAGTAGACTATAAAACTGAAGCCTAGTTTAAGTCTCATAGAAATACAGTAAATGTATAAGACTTGTTGAAGTTTGAGTTTCCTTTGCAAAAATGCATTCCCACAGGCGGCAGACCTGGGGTCTTGTGGTAGAAGAGGGGAGAGAGCGCAGAATGAAACGCTTCTTCTGTAATCTTGAAACAAGTTGGTTAAAATGTTTTTCTATTTACTTTAATGCCCAGGACATAGTAGAGAAACTYTACCACAATCCCCGCCGCATCTTTGGCCTACCCGAACAGAAAGACACGTACATTGAGGTGGAGATTGGTAACGAATGGACGATCCCTAAAGCCATGACGTATTCAAAGTCTCAATGGACTCCCTTCGCTGGAATGAAAGTCTTTGGGATGGTTCGTCGTGTTGTTCTGAGGGGAGAGATTGCTTGTATCGATGGCAAGGTAAGATCTTAGGAAGGGGCACTCTTGCTTTTGAAATGGGGTTTTTGCATGATCACGTCTGACGGTGGCTTTGTTAGATGGCAGAACAATATATCCTGCCATCCGTCATGCTGTTAGTGCAAATCCTCTGTAAGAAGCGAAAGGCAGGCTCCTTCTTTCTGTCCTCTCTTTCCTTTGTCGTTCGCGAGTGAACAATGAAGGCATCATCATTATCTATTAGAGATATGCATCTCGTTTGCGCCGCACGTCAGTTAACAGGCAAAACAATCTCCAGATTTAGTGAAAAGGAATGGACAAGTAAAGAGAGATTTCAAAAAGTAGAGCGGAATGTAGGGAAATGATGGAAAAGTAGTCAAACTTTCCGTTCGTCGGAGTAATTTTTTCCCCTTCCTTTTTCGGATTTTTTTTTTCGCATTACAAAGCAATCGATATAGAAAAAGTCCAACCCGCGCCCCTTTGAGAAAGATACAGAGAATACTAAATGAGATTTTTCCCCTTTAAAAAGGTGCTCGCTAAACCAGGATTTGGCGAGGATGTACGAATCATAAGTCCCCTACCATCGGGTGTTGTGTACGGACCATATTTACCACCAGCCATCACGAAGGTACATCTACCTAGCTGTCCAAGTATCTAGCAGCAAAACAATTGTTTTCTTAAAAATCAAACGAGCGAGCCCCAGAGAGATACGGAGAATACTAAATGAGATTTTTCCCCTTTTAAGGTGCTCGCTCAACCAGGATTTGGCGAGGATGTACGAATCGTCAGTCCCTTGCCATCAGGTGTCGTGCACGGACCTCATTTACCTCCGGCCATCACCAAGGTACCTACCAGTCCAAGGAAAAAGGAAGCCCGTCATTGGCAGTTGCCTCCACCAGTACATCGTGCTGTCGGCCCGGAGCCGATATCTGCTGCTCTCGGTATGTTACCTGATATCATTAAATTTTCGAAACACTTAAATTTTGCATCCACTGAGAGTCCAATGCTCAGCTTTTTAGGCTGAGATTTTTGGGCTCCCTGTGGTGTTCCCTTGTAAATCAAATAAATAACATGCTCCTAGTACTATGCCATTCGCCCCATGTGAGCTGAGTTTGTTGGTTCTAATTCCTAGGGTTTTTCCGGTCCTCCATTTTTTCCTCCCTCCTCTCAAATCAACCCTAACTAATTCAAACTTGTTAGAGCTGTGCTCCAGGGTGATGTATGGGCGGTTTAGCGGCTGCCAGAGGCGCCTTCACATGATTTCAGTTTAACCAGTCTGTTAAGCTGTGCCACTGCTGTACTTATGGCAGTGATTAGCTATGACAATATTTTTTCCTACTAGAACAAGAAGGGGTTTTGACCTTCTCAATTCCGCAATGACAGGACTGCAATGATGRAACAAAAAACTCCCTCAAGTCAAGCTTTATATCTTTTGTTTATTTCTTTAGAGGGTTCCCCACACGTAGTGGAAGTGATGTCACATGGTACCGCGACCCCAAAGACTCCAACTCTGACCCAGGGTCCCGCTTTTGTCATTCCACAYCACCCCTCTCAGGCACTTCGTGTCCCTGCTCACGTGATCACTGGTAATATCATCAGCGCCAGTCAGTTCTCTAAAGAACAGGTAAGATACTAGATCGTTTTTCCTGGATTTCCTGGACCTTATTTAAGATATCAAACATGTTACAGTTTGGTCTAGCTTCGGTACAAATATCTTTTGTTGGCTTTTTTTCAAGATGGCGGCGCTCGAAGGGAAGACCTGTCTTCCCTTAGAGCGCCGCCATCTTGAAAAAAACGAGAAGGCACTGGGAACGAGGTTGTTGTTGGCCATGCCTTATATGGTATTGTTTGTACCCTATCTAGACCAAAATGCTTCCTTTTTATCGAACTAAGAAAAGGCCTGTGTTTCTGTGACCCAAATAACTCCAGGCACGACACGTAGTCGCGTAGTCCCCCTATTTCCCTTAGTATTTGTTACTTTAGCCAAGCGAGGACTAATAGTCATTCTAATCTGCCAAGGGAAGGTGTAAGGGAAGTGAAGTACGACCCGCCTGTATTTTTCAAGATCATTCATTTATTTATTTATGGCTCTTGATGATGTTTCCCTTTATTTTTTATCACAGCTTCACACCATCTTTAATGTTGCTCATGAAATGCGTAAAATGGTTCACCGAGAAGGTGGAAACAATCTTCTTAAGGTAACGTTACCGCCCTTGTTAGGCCATCTTTTCTTATCCAAACAAAAACCATTGTTTTGTCCGCAGAACAATTTTTCTCGGGACTCGGTGCAAGGGATCTATAAACGAGAAGAAAAGTGTGGCGAGACCCTTACTGCATTGAATCATGGGATAGAATAAAAGGGTGCCAGAAAAATTCCGCCATGTTGCTAACTTTAGTTAGCCTAAGTGACAAGTTTTTTAACAGCGTTCTTATGCTCTCTATAAATGGGATTTACTGAAACTAAAATGAATAGCTCCCAAATTTGATTGCTCCATGGGTTCGTCAGTAAGACTGATGTTCGGTTTGTGTTTGTTTGAAGGGTCGTGTAATGGCGTCCATGTTCTACGAGGTCAGCACCCGTACATCCTCATCGTTTGCTGCTGCTATGCAGAGGCTGGGTGGCACTGTCATCAACATCGGCGCGTCTGACTCGTCGACAAAGAAAGGAGAGACCCTCTCGGGTAATTTTTTAAAGCGTCTTTGAAAAGCCAAGTAGTGACATCCTTCAGCTTTGACTCCTCCCTCCCTCCCCTCTTCCAATGCTACAATGTTTTGAGTTTCAACGATTACCATACACGCGTACTAGCGTGCTTGTAAAGGCAGTTATTTTATAGCATTTTTTAAATAACTACACGATCCACACAACTAGCTACAATAGACCCCTCGCATTAATTTCCTAGAGCAATCGTTCTGGGGGACAAAACAATAGGCCGTCTTTTCTATGGAGAAAAACTTCCATTGTTTTGTCCCCCAGAACAAATCCTCTCGGGACTCAGTGTAAGGGGTGTATTCGAGACCCCTGTTGTTTTTCTTACATCCGTCTATCACATTTCCAACAGTCTGAGTTAGTATTTTTTATTGGCGGAAGCCAAAAACCCAGACGTCTTGGTTTGTTTTGGCAATGTATATAATTGTGGAAATGAGTGTAATGGACGTTACTAATCGATCTTTTGTCTGTAGATACCGTTCAAGTCATGTCCTCATACTGTGACGTGGTAGTAATCAGACACCCAGTGCCTGGAGCGGTTCAGGTGAGTCTGAAATGCGCCATGAAATCTTAACATTAACAAAAGAAAAAGTGTGCATGAATGTGAGCATAACTTTGCCTCACCTTTAAAAAAGACTAAAAACATTGCCCACAAAAGAGGAACTATGAATTATGGTAATAAGGAAGACCAACCAGCATCGTCAAGTTTTATTTTGAGGGCGTAATTTATTTTGTTCAACAGGAAGCAGCCAAGAATTGTCACAAACCAGTGTTCAATGCTGGCGATGGTGTGGGAGAGCACCCGACCCAGGCTCTCCTCGATGTCTTCACCATAAGAGAGGAGATTGGTACTGTCAATGGTTTAACGGTAAGAACTTTAGCCACATTATTGTATCAAAATTCTCAAAAATATAAGAGACTGGTGACACTTCATTGATGTGAAGTTTATATCTCTCCTCTTGCCGAGAGGCTTAATGACAGATAACATAAAGATCAGGGAACGCAATCTCCTTGGCTCTTTTTGCTCGTTGGGTTTCCTGTGATAAGGACAAAAATTCTCCTCCTCTCTCGTTTCTCGTTCCTAGTTCTTCTCTGCCATAAGATGTAACACAGGGATCCCAACGGAGAATATATGGGGTAGCCTGCGGAGAAGCCTACAGTTGTGGTAATACTAAGATGACACGATCACAAAATGGGGCCTTCTCGTCGACACTGATTTTGAAACTGTTTCAGTCAAAACTAAAAATAACTAAGAATTCAGACTTCACCTGTCTTTTAAATCGGTGAAGCCTCATTCTGTCAGTGCAGTCTTGATAATGGAACTTCGTGAATGGATAAATGCAGCCATTGCGCAAGGTTCTATCGTTGAATCGAAGTGTCACTTTCCCAGGTTTGGGAATATAACCATTTGTTGTGCGTGACTCAGAAAAATTCACGGTACGAAAGTGTCGTGACCGAGCGTTTTACAATCGTTTCACAATCACACAAAATGTCGAATATAGTTCTTTACATTTATGTATCGTTGATTCCTGTAGGTAACTATGATTGGGGATTTGAAGAATGGTCGTACAGTTCACTCCCTTGCAAGGCTACTGTGTCTTTACCGCGTGACTCTACGCTACGTCTCGCCTCCAAGTCTACAAATGCCAGACTCTGTTAAGGAATATGTGCGACAGAGGGGTATTGTACAGGTATATGTTCGTCCTGATTAAGTGGTAAAATATAATCGATGACATTTACCGTTCTTCATGTGAAAAACATGGTAGCCTTGTTGTTAGTTAATTGGACAGACTTTGCAATTGTTATTATAATAATGGGGATTTCTTATATAGCGAGTTTCACTTTTTTCAATGCGCTTTACATTTATGATCGGTGGAGTTTGTGGGCTGCACATTAAGGCACTATGAACAACCCTGCAGCTGTTACTTCTAACATTGCATGACCGCGAATAAGTGGGAGGGGAGTCCACATAGCAACTTTTCCTGAAACAAAAATATAAAATAAGAAATTGGTACGCTGAAATGTTGCACTGGCTGAGCACAGCACTCTATTGCCAGAATTGTTGCGGACATTTTCACAAGATAAATCTAGTTGCGTGCGACGGTTGCACCTTGTGTTCAGCCATTTAGGCCGGTCTTAGTTGTAAGGTTTGAGAATTCTGGCCTGTTCAATGTATTGTGTTCATAGGCAAAACCAATTGTCGATTTTCCATTTCTACGTTTACCGTCGTTTGCATTACTACGTGGCCACCCCAGACACAAATCGAGTCGTGTAGTTTGCAATAGACTGCCGTCAATCATTCATGTTGACGCCATTTATACACGTTTGGATCAGTGAGATGGCTTTTCTATCAAACTTTCTCAGTCAGATATCACGAAGGAAAGTTCCGATAGCGATTGCAAAGAGTTTGAGTACATCCAAATAGAATGAGGTGTTTGATTGACGGCAGTCTATTGCAAACTACACGACGCGATTTGTGTCTGGGGTGGCCGCGTAGTAATGCAAACGGCGGTAAACCACCTGCAGCTTTACAAACGGAACTCGGTGATTTACGTCACCATTTGTTTTCAATGCAGGAAGAATACACGTCTTTACAGGAAGCCATACACGACACTGATGTGTTGTACGTGACGAGGATCCAACGAGAACGGTTCGAAACGCAGGGAGAGTATGACAAGGTATCAGAAGGAATCATGCTTTAGATGATGTTGATGATGATTTGTGTTAATTGATTTTGTGGAAACACTAATGTAAGGAGATTTTAGGGAGATTCTGAAATATTTTGCAGGACAGCAGTAGAATAAAGCAACGGAAAAACAAATGTTGAAAAAATAGTCAAATTAATTTGATCGAGATCTGAGCTCTGATGGAAGGTTAAACCAGTATAACCCCTTGTACAGTAATCTAGTGTTGTAGTGTTTTGAATGCTCTGACTACTTGCCAGGTGTGTCGCTATGATTACGCACTCGGAACGGGTCATTGCTAGAGTAAAGCCGCTTTGCTTTCACTTCTGCTTGTTACTGCTTGAATAGTACAAGCGAAAAAAAGCTTTGCGGAACAACTGCTTCGACAGTTACCTCTACCAGCGAAGGTATGGCTGTCCCAAGCAGCGTTTTTTTTAATGCTTTGATGCGGTCTTGTTTTTAGGTCTTTGGAAGTTACGTCGTGACTCCACAGACTTTGAACGAAGCCAAAGAAAAGATGGTTGTCATGCATCCCTTACCACGCATCAATGAGATAAGGTAACTATAGCAACATGTTGTTACGTAGACTTCTTTTAGATTTCATTGACCATTCTTCGCCGAATTAGCCATTCCAAGGTTAAAGAAAATAACTGGGTCGAGTTGGCATTGCAGTGCATTGTGGGACTATTTCCGTATCGTAATGATGTCGTGTTCTTTGCCGTTTTAGTTGTATGTAATCTACCCTTTTGACCTCACAAAAATTTTTTTCCTGCATCTGAAATCTAATCTTGTAACCTTTCCAGCGTTGAAGTGGATTCTGACCCTCGAGCTGCCTACTTTCGTCAAGCCGAGTTTGGTATGTACGTAAGAATGGCTCTTTTGGCGCTCGTGCTTGGAAAGTAAATCATCGTGAATCCATCGAGAAAAAAATGACTGGGAGGTCATTGGGAGAAAATCACGAAATCATCAAGGGAAAATCGGAAATCATCGAAAGAAAATCGGAAAGTCATTGGAAAAAACTTGGGAGATTATTGTAAAATCATCGGAAAGCCATAAGGAAAATCTATTATATTATCTATTATATATTGTTTTCATCATATTTTTCATTACTGTTCCTGTTGAAAAAAACTACGTATCGCAAATCTCGACGTTGAACTAACTTTGGTTTTGTTCTTTACATGTTTTCTGTTATTTATTTCCTTCAATTATGTAGCCTGGGGTAAGCGGGGGCAGTGGGGTGAGGAACTAGAGCCTCCTCGGTTCCACCCAACAGCTCCCCTTAACCCCTTACGCCTTGGGCTGCTACGTAGACTATTCAATTTAAGGTGTTTCTACCATTATTTGTTGCATTCCAAGACTGGGATGTAATTGGGTTCCATGGGTTAACAGAACAATAGCTTTAATATCAGAAAACAATTATGAAAGAATATATGAGGGATGTGTGGAGAGAAATAGGCTCAGTTAGGCAGGAAAGGGTCTTAAAAGGAGGATTGTGTTTGAACGAGAGGAAAATTAAACTCGTTCCCAAAGCCTTTGGATATTCGAGGAAAGCTTGCTAAAAAAATAGGCGCTTTGAGATTTGCAAAATCTTCGACGGCAAAGTCAACCGGAAGCGTAAATAATTTTAATTGGAAATTTCATTCAAAACATTAGCAAAGTCAATTCATCCACAGGAAAGACAGTCTGTAAAAGCGCGAAACCTTAAAGTGAAGTTATTTACGTTTTCGGTTGACATCGCCCTCATAGATTTTGTTATATTAAAAGTCCCTAAAGGCAAGCGTCACTAACAGTTGTATCTAAACTACTATTAATTGGAATTGCTAATAAAGTATTTAAGCAAATTAATAGCCAATATCCAATACCCCCACCTTCCCTCTCCAGTCCCGAAATAGATATCCTCGCAGAAAATTACGAATACGATCACTTTAGTCTAATTAACTTTTGCTCTTCGTTTTTCAAAGTTTGATTTCAGTGTTGCTTTATTCTTCCCTAACTTCAACGATGTTATTATCAGGGCCTTCGATTTTCCTTTCCTCACAAGATGAACGCTACCGAGTAAACGAAAAGTCAATGCGAAATCCCCATCACATTTTATTTCGTTGGAGTGATTCTCGTATTTGTAACAGTCGTTTTTTAAAACTCTGTTATCTCACTCTTCACTCTTCTTGCTTCATCATTTGAAGCTTTTATCTTAGCCCTATAAAATCAACCATTTAGCATAAACGTGTTCGTAACCGATATTTCAATACAATTCCTTTCGCGACCAAGTCTATCAGTAAAAATAATTGAGATAATTACTAAGGAACAAAGCGATATTAAAAAAATAGTTAAGTAGCTGACGCGTTGGAAAACCAATACGCGCCCATCTCTTTTTTAAGGGTTTTTTAACACTGATGTAAAAATGCTGCAATTTAAAAACTGCATTTTCTTCATGCGGCTACGATGGCGCGTTTGAAAAAAGGCGGACTTACAATGCCCTCCATGGCTACATTTGGCTAGAAACACGAATATTTCGTTTTCTTTAAAACGGTTTCAGTTTTATTTTTACCAGACGCAAAAAAGAAAACTTGACCTTATCGTTTGTCATTATTCATTGACAAATTTAACAGCAAGATATTGATAGCGAAAGTAACGCATTCTTTGTCAAATTGCAAAGGTTCAAATCAGTCAATCGGTTTTCCAATCTTTGAGCGGACACTCGACGAATAGCGCAGTTAGTTTTTGTGTTTAGGGGAATTTTTCCCCTGCAAAAAAGCCAGCTTCGATTATTGGCTGTTTCTCTTTTTCAGGGCCGAGAACCGAAAAAGGTTACTGAAGGCTCGATTAAGCGGAAAACTGTTTTTCCAAAACTCATTTGACTTCGAACATTCTAGAAAGACTAAATTAATAGTTTCGACTTATACGGAATGTCCCTTTTCTCTTTCGTTTTCTACTATTAAATCTTGAAAATATGCCACAAAATTTATTACCTTAAAGGTAAAAAAAAACAGAAAAAGGTTCCCAAACGTTTGTGACGAAAATTTAGGATGAAAATAGAAACGTATTGAAAAGGAATGAACGGATTACGTATTTGTTAACCTTTGATTTGGCTACTCGCATGAATCACTTTTTATTCTTAATTGGCTTAAACTTTAGTTCGAAAACATGGAACTATTTTTCAAAAAAGACGTTGTGGTTTTCCTATACTTTGGGTGGTTTTTTCCACAATAAAAATCAGAAAAGTCTTCAGCAAACGGCCTTGTTATGTAAATTATTAGCGGTATGCCGGCTAAATTTGTTTTTTGTTTTGAAATTCTAATGAGTTTTTGAAGCATAGATAGTTTGTTTGGCGTGTTTTGGCGTATATTGAATTGTTTGTACGAAATAAATAAAGCTTCGTGCGAACGAAAACTTGACTGCTTTCCAAGAAAATTAAAGTGATTTGTTATTTCTATTCTTCAGCACTCTGAAGGAAAAACAATATCATGCGATCAAACTTTTTAATATCTTCGTCCAAACGGCCGCAGAAAAAGAAAGTAATTTTTGCTCGAATTTAAACACACACACACAAAAAAAGCAAACAAACCGGACAAATTAAGTAGGACTGATAATATTGGATGGAAAAACTACTCCCCTTCGACCTTTGAGCAGATTGAGCAGGAATCAAAATGGCTTACTGTGATGACGTATACAGGCCAAATGATGACCATTTATAATAATCTCATCAGAAAACGAAACTATTTTTTCTTTTATTTCGAACCGTTTTTCCTGGTGGAAAATAAACATTTTAAATCCATATTGAATTCATTTCTATTAATTTTTGTTTATGAAAAGACAGTTCAAAGAAAAGAGTTTGTATTCTGTATCAAATTTCAAAGTGAAGACTGTATGGCATTTAGTAAATAAATATTTGCTAAATTAAAACAAAAAAATGCTTGGATATCTCTTTTAGTTTATATGGAATTGAGATTAAGAATCTTTCAAGTTAAATTTACAACCTTTAATAGGCGATATATATCAACTAAAATTTCTTTATCTCTTAAAATAATTTTGTACCCGAAGCCGGCTTTTCGAGCTTCACGGATGGTCAATTATAACTGAGCAAAAAAAACCATTCGTAAACTACTCTACCAACGACAAAAAAGTCTTTTTTCAAATGATAATCCCATCATTTTCTTTCTATAGCTTAAGGTTTTCCCTATTATTTCATCTTTTATACAGGGAAAATTTCTTCAATCTTTCATCGATCGAGCAAAAATACTATAAATGTGCTCGTCGCAACGGGAGACTTCAGCATGTATTACATATGCAATGACTTGGTATTTTTAAGGGTCTTTGGAACTATTAATTATTACGTGTTTTTGCTTTCCCATGAGCGAATGAAACCGAAAAACTATTGAATATTTTAAAAGATATTTTTTACTTCAAGATTTCTTTTTCTTCGAAAGGYGAGCGACTAAGTCCGCCACACGGTCATGCTAAATTCCGTCGCAATCAGACGGAAAACTGTTTTTGATTTGAAGAGTCACACATTATTTATTTTAATATCGTATCGATAAATAATATCCCAAAAAAAAAATGTTTTCACGTTTTCAAATAATGTTGAATATATTTGCTCAAGCAATTATTATTCCTATTTTAAAGGTTCAAACCTTTGAATTTTACTAAACATACTTATGAAAAAATTAAACTGTAAGTATATAGTAGATAGTTGTGGTTAGCGCTCTACTGAAGAACATTCTTCGTGACGAAGTGTTCTACCAAAAAATAACAAGGTGTCGTGACTTTATTTCAAGCTAAAAGATATATTATTCGCTTCGTTGTCCAAAAAAAGAGTTGCTAGTTTTTCGTTTTTCATTTTTTACTTTCAATTTGCTGGGAAAAAACCAGCTTTTTAGAGGAAAAGAATCCAAACCGAAGTCTCGCTAAAGGATTGCGGTCGATTTGCATATAAAGGAAAAGCACGTGATTGTATTGTTCTCGGGTGTTTGATTGACAGTTGGAGCGACACGCCAGGATGTCAGCAGTGCTGAATTCATTATTGTAGTCAAATCAACTCCGCATTGGCAACACTGCGAAACTGGTAAGCCTTTAAAACTTGTTTTTTGTGGTCGTAATCCTTTGGAAACTTTCAGTTTGTCAGAAAAACCTATTCCTCGTTTGTTTTTGATATATTTTTAGTTATTCTCTGTCATTTTTCGATGTTTCTAGGGATTTTGTACGATCTCCTCCACCGTGTAGTCGTTTCTGCACAAACCCCCTAGTTTATTATGCATCAGAGTTTGATTCTCGGCCGTTCTAAGAAATTCCCTTCTGCTCTATTTAAAAATACATCATATTCGCTACGAATTTCACTTAGATATTCCTATCGCTTTCAAGTTTAAACTCTATGGACTCTAAACAGACAATGGTAAGATTTTTTAGAATTTAAAAGAAGAAGGAATAAAGGAAAGAGGCAAAACTGAGTCACTGGTATAAAAGAGAGGTCAAGTATCAAATTATTGGTTCTGAAGATATGTGATACACTTTTCGTAAAAACRTAAAAACTACTTTCTTACCGAAAAAGAACCCCCAAGAATTATCCCTGATCATAATTGCTAATTTATATTTCTCTTTTTTGCGAATTTGTTGTCGAACAAAAAGTAACAAGGCAATAGTTGGTATTCGCAGCTATTGAATATGCAAGCAAGACGGAATTTTTCATGCGTAGAGTTGACACTTATGACAAAAGCCTGAAGACTGCCGCGGACTTACTACAGAAATTATATAAAAACCTTCACATCCTGAGAAAATCTTTAAAATATACCATCTTCTAGCAGAAATTTCCTTTTTTAACCCAGAACGGGCTATGGAAATTATTGTTTTTCTATGGGGAATAATCCTGGTATAATTGACATTTTTTTCGATAGATTTTTTTGTATTTTTTGGTGCTATCCGCAGTTGTTACGGAAATAAGAATAATAGGCATCTCGGTTTGAATGGCATGCAAGCAGGCATCTTATCGGATTTTTTAATCTCCAGGCGTAAAAAGATTTATTTTTTTCTAAGAAATAACAAACCGGATAGTTTTTAAAAAACCAAGTAAATAAATCTTTTTGACTAGCTTTGGGAATCGGTCGGGGCATGTTTGAAGTCCGCTCGTACGATTRCAAGATGTGTCTCTGTTTGTTTCCCGTAGAGGTCGGCACTTTGGATATCATTTGAGTACGACTAATTCCTTGAACTTCTCAGATTCGACCTTCAAAAAAAGGCTTTAAAACTAAACTGGAAGAAGGCTAAGCTACAAGATAAACCAGTGAATTGAGACTTAGGACTGTTCAATTTTGTATCAAAAAAGAATCCTGTTATCACTCAAGGTTTTTCTTCGTTAAGTTTCAATATCATCAGCTAAACCTTGAAGATACATGAAAAAAGGTCAAGGCAAAAATAGCATACTCGAAAAAAAACAACACGCAAAACATGTATCTTTTCATTCCTTCTAGAGTTTTCGGTATTTTTCAAGAAGGGGTTTATTCTGTTTTCTTAAAAGATATAAATTATTCAGCAAAGATTGTCTCAAAGCATGTTAGCGAAATTCAAGATTGCAAAAAAATGTTTAAAGAGCGTGTTGAAAGAGACAAGTACGGAAAAATCCATCGACAGCTCCGTGCTTCCCAAATCAGGGATTTTTTTTCGGAAAGTTGGGTAATTAACTTTTACTTTTTCTATAACCAGTAGAACTAAAACGAAAATACGACAGTGCTAACTTGTTTTGTTTCTTTTCCGGAGTCTATAAATTATGGATTTCGCTGGATTGAAAACCGCGCGCGCTGAAGACGCAAAAAGAACCCGTCGCAACCTTTCTCTTCTCTTTTTCTTTTCTTCCCTCAAACTCAACCGTGTTTCTTCGAAAATGTATTTGATTTTTATATTTTTTACATTGTTGTTTATTAGCCACGCTTCGTAGAGAACGTAGAGTTAGTCTTCCTTGAAAATAACTTTCCAATCATTAGTTTTGTTTGTCAAAATAATTCCAGGCTTCGACGATTCAAATGTCCTTGTGCCAAATATTTGATTGAAACTAAGAAGTTTTATTTGATTGTCTGGTTTACGTTCAGTCATTGTTAGATCTCTTTTCATAAAAATTGTCGAGGTTTGACCTAGAATGTCTTTGTTTAACGTTTTAAAAACTGGTTTTTGGATGAGAAAAAATAATATTTAGCCAAATACGAGACCGACGAACCACAATTACTAGTATATACAAATCCTACTTGTGTATTTTATTATCATTCTTTGAATTAATTTTCTTGGAATAAGAAATATTTTGTGACCAAAAGAATATCCGCCCCTATCGACCTCCGACTCACAGTAGAATCAATAAATAAAGAATAGAATCAAAGGATAAAGAAAGCTGAAGTATCTTCGCAAAAATTCAATATTTCCTCAGGTCATTCACGAGCATTTTTTTAATCAACTTTCATTTGGTTTTCGTACAGAGTTCACGTTATGTAGACCAAACGAAATGTAAAACCGAGAATCACTTCGTTGTTATTCTATCTTGGATTAACATTTGGTAAAAAAATGTCAATAATTTAAGTAACGATAAAGTGGTTTTCCGGTTTTCCCTTGTGAAGTGTTGGATCTAACGTTTTGACTTGGTGCGGTGAAAGTTATAAAAGAGTCATAAAAAGTGCGGATTCCCTGCCGTTGCTAATTCAGATCTCGTTTACGCCCGTTTCTCTTTCTTATTTCAACTTCTTTTTTCCCGACATCCGCACCCTCGTTTTTTWAATATTTTTTTCTCCTTTAATTTGATTTCACTCCCGGGTTTTAGTGCTGACACACATTAAAGTACCCAGCGGGGTTTCCAGGCTTTTTTCTTCTTCTTCTGGAAATAATCAAGATAAGAGAAAGACGGAGAAAGATATTTTACCGGCCAACTAATTGTTTGAGTTCAACAGTACCTTTGAAGCAAATCTTATTAACTTCCTAACATTTATCGCTATTCTTTGATGGAATTAATTGCAACATGCAACTACAGTGAAGTTAGTGCAGATAGTACTCTCGCTGAAAGTCTTGCGAACTTTTTGATTCAACCTTTAAGATGTTGCAAAAATTTAAGTTGTTAGAAATTTTTTCTCGTCTAAATTTGGTCGAAAAACCAGGGGGAAATGTTCCCAGCGCAAGACACTTTTAGTTTTATTGAAACTCAAGAGTCTATCTTAAGCGGCTCAATTCCGGAGCATTGAAAAATATTGAAAAATGAAAATATAAACTTCGAAATACACAAACCACAGTCCTGTAAAAAAAAAAGTTGAAACTTCACAACAATTCAATGCTTCGATTCGTTTTCTTTTTAGTTCGTGATGGACGAACATTTCCCGACGAGAGATCGAATGTTTCATAATTACCCGACGATGGACGACGGCCCACCGGACAAGAAACGAAGAGTCGAGTTGGGTGCTTCTGGTAATCCAACCATGATGGGTAAATACCAAATTTATATGTCGCGCTCATAACTTAGTTCAGTGAAATATGGAATCAAGCTTTATGAATAACTTCCGTTTACATAAAGGGAGGTAGGGTGACCCTGGTGCTAGGGCCAAACTCATTTGTTGTTAAGTGTTGTCGCCTCAGTTGGAAAACAAAACGAAACGGATTTGTCGCCGCCAGCTAGCACCAGGGTTACTCTTTGATGTAAGTGTTACATTAAATTGAGTACAAATCCACCCCACAATGCATTACGCATTGCGCGCGACGCAAATACCTGTATTTTTCATTTGTTATACTGATTGTGACTTTCGTTTTTGCAGACTCTATAGTCAATGCCACCTCGACATGGCCTCTCAATTCCTTACATTCGTCAGCGGTGTTACCCAGTTACGAAGAAAGCCTGGCTACAAAGCATAACAGCTTCCCAAGCCAATTGAAATACTTTGATACAGATGCCTACTTACCTCGTCAAAGAAGCCCTAAACTAGACAGGAATTTTAACATGGTCGAACGAAATGTTCCTACAAAAGAAGAGTTCTCGGCAACAAATAATTACGACGCTAGTTCAGTCAGACGCTTACACTTTGATAACGTAGAAAAAGATGATTTTTCAAGCCGTTTGAACGTCCCTAAAAGTCAGGGTTCCAAAGAAAAGCAAGAAAGCACATCGGAAAATGAAGTTAGCACAAATTTGAGGGACAAAGAGGAATCAAGAGATAAAATAGTCATACCTGTTATTAAAGAAGAAAAGGTTGAACCTGTAAAAGATAAAGATAAGGGCGACAGTGTTGCTGAAGGAAAGGATCAAAAATACGAAACTGTGAAAAAGACAGAAGTTTCATCGTTTAGCACGGCAGTGAAAAGTAAAAGTCCTTCTAGTAAAGAAGAAAAAAATAAGGTGGATACAAAGGTTGAGGTGAAGACAGAAGGCAAAAAGGACGTAAATGATTTCTCGTTCCTTGACTGGAAGGATGGTATTGCCACACTACCAGGTAAAGGAAACTAATGTGCCTTTCATTCGTTCGTTCTTTCGTTCATTCGTGGCGTTCGTCATTCATTCCGGCCTCCCATGTATTCGCTCATTCATTCATTCCATTCGTTTATTTCAATCCCCTTTGTAAAGAAATAGAGTAGTTTTTGTATGACTGTGAAAAATTCGTGCCGTATGCGTGCCTTGCCGCGACCGTGATGTTTTCTAGAATTTTGATTTGGGGATTTTTTTCGCGCAACGTGATTGGTCTGCAGGGCCGTGACATTGGCGTGACCGCGACCGCGACCGCGTCTTGTTCATGTCGCGTTTCGGGTATTTGATTTGATGAAGAGTAAATTCTCGTTCAATGTGATGGTCTGGCGTGTACCTTGCCGTGTCACGCCCGTGTTCGTGCCGTGAGCTTTCACGGTCTTACGAAAACTGCTCTATCAGTTCCATAGTCAGCACAAGAAACAGGATTTTTAACGGTGTTATCGATCTGATGTCCACAGGTAGTAACTTAAAGTTTAAGTTGAATGAATTCGGTTCGCTCGAGATGGTTAGCACTGTGGAGACAGAAAAGGGAGAATACGAGTGGAGCACAGCATCAAGTAACTGTAAGTTTATAAAGAATATTAATTATTTTAATTATTAATAAATTAATCAGGCCGGGTTCGTTACCAAGTGTCGGCTCGCCATGTTGGATGGCATTTGCTGTTGTCTTACAATATGGTTGGCTTTATGCAAACTTGTGCAAAGCATATATTGCTTCACCACTCATGGATACCTCTRTGAAGCAGATACTCTTCATTAAACGGACAACTAGTTGCATGGTCCCTAAATTTCCCTCCCATATTTACTGTAAAACAAACCTCTATTCAGTGGACAACATTTGTTAAGAGCGGACACCAGGTAAGGTCCCGGAGGTGTCTGCTTTATACAAGCATTACTATATTAATCTTTGATATATCGCTCCACAGCACCCGCTTCAGATCTGATGCAAGGCCCCCCGGATGCAGGTCACGTGTTGTGTTGCGAGGTATGCGGGGTGTACGGTTTACCGCAAGACTTCTGTTCGTCTGGACGGTTTTGCAGTCTCTCCTGTGTTGGTGCTTACACGGGACGAAGAAATAAGGGCAGGGAGTTGGTAAAAAATGTCAATACAATCGAAGGAAAGGTTATCAAGAAGAAAAAGAAAGTCAAAGCAAAGAAAGGAATCAATGGAAGACCGTTGTCACCCGCTCTTGTGGTAAGTTTGCTGTAGGGAGGTCTCGATTAAGGGGGGAGGGGGGGACAATGTACCATTTTCTCGCCATATCCACAAGCATCCCGCATGAATTGATCAAATTTTGGTGCCTCCCCGTGCCCCCCGCCCTCGTGCCCCCTCCCTAGGCTAGTGTTGCTGTGACTAAAAGTGAATCGTTTGAATACCGAGTCCTGACACTAGCTGGCGTTGAGCCTCCTTAAATTTCACAAACCATCATCACGTGAACTGAATAAATGAAAAAATGAAATAAAAAAGAGAATGTCTCCAAATACATGGTTTGCTATCATTTTTTCGCAAAGAGAATGAAACAACAAAAGAAATGGCGGTTGTAGTTGTTGATATAACAAAAGACTATAAAAAAAATCCTTCGTCAAATTGAACCAACATGGCAGATATTTGCGGTGGTTGCCATGGAAATCAACCACTGAACTGTTGTCATCTTTACTCTTGGACAGGTAGGAGAAGATTCAGGTTTCAGCGACAAAACGTCTGACATCGTAGCATCTTCTCCTAAAACAAAAGGCCATCGTGAAAAAGGCAAAGGGAAGAATAAAGGTCCTCTGATTGAACCAAGCGGTACATGCCTGACTGCTTCCATGGGTAAGTGCTGCAGATACTGCTGTTATCAGTATAATGTTGACACATTAGCCTAGCTTCAAGTTTTATCTAACACTTTTTAATTGGCCCAAAGCAGAAGCCATTTAAGGAACGTTAATTTTTTTTCATTTTTTGACTTGCAATTCACAAAATCCCACCAGTCCCGTGTGTGGTGTTGCCTCCAAGTCATGTGTTTATTTCCGACGTGCGCATGCGCAATTCTTGATTTCTCTACACTAGTCTTCTTGCAAGCATTTTTATTTAGTTGGCCAAGAGTCGTGGTTCAATGACCTACTTCGACGATACGGCGGCCATCTTGCCAGGGGGCAAGACAAATGAGGACGACGGACAATATATATAACTGTGCCGTCTTAATTCATCTTTTTTTCTATTCCCTTGTGATGAGCTGTAAATATCGATCGACGTTATTACGGTGACAAAGCTTTATTTGACCCCTGGACGCCTCAAAATGCTTTGCAATCCAAGATGGCCGCCGTATCGTCGAAATAAACCATTAGAGTATGATATCCTAACATGTTGGGTGAAACTTTGATCGTTACTATTTTTCAGTTCCATATAACTTTAGCAAACCTTTCACATGGGTGGATTACATGTACATGTCGGGAACAAAATCTGTCCCAGTTAGTGTATTTAAACAGGTAGGGATCAATTGTTTTTCTTACTATTTTACATGTATGCTTTCCATTGATTCCCCTACGAGCCCTCTTTGCTATCAAGTCAGATCGGCCTTAATTTATTCTCTTCTTCTCGCTGACAATCATGTATTTATTATTCTAAACTTTACTGTCCATTTGTCTTAATTTTATAATTTAATCTATTTATTGTATACAAAATAACATTATAAGATTAAAAAAAGGATCGGCCTGATAATGGCAAAGGTATGGATCGGAATAATGTACTGGATGGTAAAAGCCTCCCATCCAACACATATTCAGTCTTTGTGCAGCCAAAATGTCAAAGTTGCAAATTGCGTTAATTAATTAATTACGTCTTTAATTTCTGTCAGGAAAACCCAGACATCAATGTATTCCCGATGCCTTGCGAGGAGTTCAAGAAAAATATGAAACTTGAAGCAGTGGACCCCAAACATCCTTCATACATCTGTGTCTGTACTATTGTACGGGTCAAGGGAACAAGATTAAGGTTACACTTCGACGGATGGTCTGAATGCTACGATTTCTGGACCAATGCAGACTCTTCGTTTATATTCCCGGTCGGGTGGTGTGCGAAAAATGGACAGACGCTGCATCCACCACGAAGTGAGTAGATGCACGGGAAATCTTGTCCGCAGTAAAGTAGTTTTAATTTTCATATTTCTTTGG